GTAGGGGGCACTAGCCGAAAGATTTCTAGAAATCTTACCATACGTGAACTATAAATATTGACACAAATTATACATCAATCCTTAGCACTAAACGACACGCATCAAATGAGATGTTTTTCATGATTGGCACATACTGTACAATGAATATGTTGTTGAAATAGTGTGTAGGGAGCACTAGCCGAAAGGTTTCTAGAAATCTTACCATACGTGAAGTATAAGTATTTTCACAAATTACACATCAATCGATAGAACTAATCAAGACGCATCGAATGAGATGTATTCCATGATTGGCACATGCTGTAGAATGAATATATTATTGAAATAGTGTATAGCTGAGAGTAGCGGAATGGACTCTAGAGATCCCAGGATCTCTGAAGTGTTAGTAGCTACACTAAATTTCACATCAATCGATAGAATCAGTTCAGATTCATTGAAAAATGGGAACTTTGTTTATGTGATGCGATATTTTTTTTTTGCTGAGTAATGGTCGTATTCTGTTGTCACACATCTATAGTTTTGGTGAACTTTGAGTGTAGAGGTTTTACTCAGTGGGGGTGAAATACATATCATTCGATAGAGCTCGTCAAAAGGATTCGAATAGAATCGGTTTCGCGTGTGGCACAGGTTATTGAATGAATAATTACGGGAATTATATCATAAAATGGTGTTTTATTACGTTTCTGAAGCTTGAAGGTCTCACAAGTTGGTTTGATTAGGGTTTTATTGGTAACATCAGATGCAGGACGTCGAGATGCGTCGAATGATATAAATTTGAAAAGTGGCACGAGTCCTGGTTTCAATTGTTTTACGACATTTCGGATTTTAGTATTTTTGCCTGTGGTACAAACTTATAGTTTACTTTGTCTTTTGTTGGTTTTGATCTTGGCTGTAATTTCAAATTTATGATGTGATAGAGTTTGGCGAGCTCTATCTGGCACACGAGAAATGAAACCTGGCACAGTTGAGTGGGCGAATCGGTCTGAAAAAAACTCGAATCAGGTGCTAACTTCCCTTACATTCATATCCTTAATATCAAATAAAACTTAGTTATTACTTGAAAAAGAAAATGCATAATGCAAAATAGTTTGTGTTAACAACAGAAGAATTACTTGAATTTTGTATTATAAAAATAATTTTATAAAAAAAAAAGAACTATTCTTTTGCTTTATTCATATTTGAGCATTTCAGATATTCACTCCAAAATATTGTGTACTGAATATGAAGACATAATAAATAAATTTTATTTTGTATTTTCATATAATTTTGAAATTATTCATAGAAGATCAATGAAGAAATGTATTTCTATATAAAACATACTCTATTGGTATTTAATGTTGAGAAGAAACTAAAAATAAACAGACCGAAAAAGAAAATATTAGTTTTTTTACGCTTGCATTTTAATGTTGATTATTTCAAATAATCAAGATAGATATTTTTTATTTGTACTTCATAGTTTACATTCTTGTTAAGATATAAATAGCCAGTATTCACATAATGTGTAGCTAAAAGACAATAAAACTTCTCTATCATTGAATCTCTGTTTATTTGCTTGATATCACAAACGGATTGACAAAAAAAAAACCGGTTTTATCAAGTCTAAAATACTGATATTATATACTGAGGGTGTGGGTGTGCAAGCATATAATACCTACACCCACACCCACCCAAAATTCATAATAAGGTAACGAAGTTATTAGAGTATGAGTTTTAGATGGGTTCGATTCGCGTTTTTCTTGGTATCCAAACAACTTCGATTTGGTTCGATTCGAAACCAAAACAACCCCATCTCTGCTATATATACTTTATCTGTCGAACTGTGACATGATGAAATTAGAAAGTGGTATTAATTTATGAATGACATACTATCAAAATATCATCAAGAACAATGACAAAAAGGAATATGAGGGTCGGTGTGGCTTGAGAGAAGATCAACTTACACCCATACCTCACCCAACCCCACACTCACCCACACTCTCAAGTCGAACTCTTGCGACTTCTACTTTCCTATTACAGACCTTGGCAATCCCCTCCTCCATTACAGATTTTAGCAATCTAGGACAACTGATACAAGACTCCTTGTCCAGAGTTCCTTAGCAGTGGAATTAGGCTCTGAACGGCATTAACGACTACACTTAGAATTTTTTAAAGTCTCTGTCAATATTTGAATGGCTACAATTGGTCTGTAAATGTTTTAAAGATATATCGTAATACCTTAAGACATGCTACTGAAGATATAATGCATATTTACAAAAAAAAAGCCTATTTGCTACGTAATTCGATCTTTATCATAAATAACAATGTTAAATTAAGAAAAAAAAACGAAATATGAAACTGAAAAATACCCAGTCAGACAAAAATTTCGAAAAACGTGTTTAAACGCACAATCGGGAACCGCGACTGTGGTCCATTCACGCTCATTAAAAAAACGCACGAAAACGTGTTTATTGGCGTTTTTTGTAACTTTTTGGGCGTCAAAACGGCGGAAATTCCAGTTTTTAAGCGTTAAAACGCACTATTATTCTAGAACTTAAAAAGAATATGTTTTAACGCTCAAAAACTGGAATTTTCGTCGTTTTGACGCCCAAAAAGTTACAAAAAACGCCAATAAACGCGTTTTCGGGCTTTTTTTTAATGAGCGTGAATGGATCACAGTCGCGGTTCCCGGTTGTGCGTTTAAACGCGTTTTTCGAAATTTTTGTCTGACTGGGTAAAGAGTGAATAGCAACAATCCAAGCAAAAAATAATACGCCAGTAAAAAAATTGTTCAAAATGCAGAAATAAATAAGAAGACTCTTACTCTGGTGATTGTTTACCTTGGAAAATAACTGCATTTACGAGAGATTTTCACTTGGTGTATTTTGTATTAGTTTAATGAGGTTAAAGAACATATATGTGATTTTGATATTTCATTTTCAAAGGGCCTACGCTAATAAGCTTGTTACTTTTATAGATAAAGTATTTCCATGAATAAGTTTCGCATAAATAATTAATATAATGACAAAAAACATATTTTCCTTCACATTCTGATTGTGAAATTGATAACATAATCCCGATCATAAGTAAAGCTTTTTGTATTCCTTCAAAACAACGTCACATATAAACACTTACATGTCTTGATGACAAATACATGGAAGAATCTGATATGTTTGTCAAATAGTTATTAATGTGTTTTTTTTCAGAGACTACTGTCATCAGAGAAGATTACCTTTCAAAATCAATATTAATGCGCTCCTCATCTATTTTTAACATTTGTAACCAATGAAATAATAATGATGGTAGTATTGCTTCTTTTTATGCTAAGTTTCAAGATATCTCTCGAAGTTTTTGTATGATATAAGACTCTATGTTATCATTAGTCAATGCCATTGACAAGTTGGACAAATTTCTGCTTTAACAGAAATTAATTTAAACTTAACAAAATTTAGAGAAGATTTATTTACTAAAAAACAGTTGAGAGATATCCAAAACACAAAAAAAATTCCACCTTAATCCATACTCATATTACCATTCAAGAAAAAAGACAAGTGACTGACATTGAAGAATGAAAAAAAATGAAAGAGAAATAAATACCCCACAAATTTTGATATTTATGAAAACAAAATTACAATCAAATTTTTTTCCATCAAATCCACAAAACATCCATGTTATTAGCTGATCGATTTAAGGTATACAGAGGAAACTTTTTTCTCTTCGTTACATTTCTACTATCGTTCATATATTTCTATTCTATATGGAAGTTCCAATTTCATTAGTGAGCTTCTTCATTTTTCTTACAAAAATCTAATGTTTTATATTTATCAATAGTCTTTCATGGATTTTTTTTTAGAAGGGATTTGATAATGAGCGAAAAAGCAATGTCTAAAATAATGCAGAGAATCAACGAAATATAAATTGATAGAAATTTTTGAAATAATTCAATTGATAGAGAACTATTCAAATAGAACTAGTTAGAAACTGTATTTGAATCGAATCAATCATCAGTCAAGTAATAGCTCGAATTTTTATTATGATGGATATTCATTATTATTTTGATTCATAGATAACATTTTATCGACCATTATTTGAAAGATTAGTGAAGTGAAATAAGTCAAAGATGTATCAGAATTGAATATGGACGAGAAGTATTTATGATAGACAATTTATGTTTGTTTCTTTACTGACTTTAGTTTATTTTTTAACAAGAGATAAAACACAAAAATTTTATGTTCAGAACTACTCTATATATTTCTAATTATGAGTTTCTATTAGAAAGGATGTCATAACGATTTCATTAGTTCGTTATACATTCCGAATACAGAGATGAATAGAGGACAACTTTTGTTTTGTTATTTCCTGCAGTGCAAAACAAGACAAGCAAGATTCTTATTTTGCAAAGCAGACAATCAACTGTTAGTCATCCTTCATTCTATCTATTCTATTTTACATTAAAATAAATTAAAAATCTTCTTAAATAATGATTTATTCAAAAATAATGCGAAAAAATTCTTTGTAACTTTTCTCGATCAAGATGAATTCGTTTTTCGTGTGTAATTAATTACATTCTAAAAAAAAGTCTTTCGTTGTTACTTGTGGAAATAGTTAACATAAATTAAATTATGCTCGATAAGAACTGACTTTATTTTTCTTATTGATATTTTTAAAAACTACTAAAAGGATCGATTTTTGCCTTATATCAAGGAACTTCAAAACTCAAATAATAATGGAACTAGTACATTTGTGTTTACATGAAACTTGTAATCATTACTGTTCAAACTTTAATACCCATCTATTCTCTATTCAGTTCTGAGTTCTAAGTCGTTAGGAAATTTTTTGCTCTTGTAATGATTATTTTGCATAATAGGGTAATCGACCATACCTATTATGGGTCCTAATTTTTGCAAGCTTGTATCTTGCTAATGGATTTCCAACTAATGAAGGTATGTTTTAATTTCATTTGAATTTTATCGAAAACCAATTTTGCATTAATATAATAGAAATTTCTTCTGCAAAAAAGTCGTTCGATGATCTTCGAGAGTACTACATACGCCAATTCAATAATTCAACGACATCAACAACAACAACAGAGTCCACAACATCAACAACAACAACAACAGAGTCCACAACATCAACAACAACGAAGTCCACGACATCAACAACAACAGAATCCACAACATCAACAACATCAGAGTCCACGACGTCAACAACATCAGAGTCCACAACATCAACAACAAGAACAACAGACTCCACCACAACAACAACAACAGAATCTACGACGACAACAACGACAGAATCCACGACAACAACAACGACAGAGTCTACGACAACAACAGAAACTCCCTCCACAAGTAAGTAGAATGAACTATAAGTGTAAACAGCTATTAAAGGATAAAGTCTACTTCTAATAGCTTTCAGTGACGATCTGAATATTTTTAGATTTGAGTTATTCGTGAATTCTTCACCGAAAATGAAAGTATACATCGAACACTTGTCGAAAAAGCCATCTTATCTATTGTTTTCATAAGTAACAAATTGGATCAAAGACATTTAGATAATTATAGATAGTTTTCGTTTTTCTTCCCATACATATCTCAATTATCTTTAGGAATTTATAGATTCATTTTCGAAATTTTCATTGTCTTTCAATCATCGTTCAAACTGAATTTATGAAGTTCTTATTGAAAATCTGATATTTCTTTTCTAAAAATGAATTATTGGTAGATCCTTGATCAGTATCATTCTATGTTTGTTTTTTTGTCGCTAAAAATAGCGACGTGTATACGTCCAGTTATAACACCATCAAGTTCAACGTCAACGGCTACCACTTCGTCTTCAAACACGACTACAAGTTAAAAAAAAAGAACAATTCGTAATCCTAATTAATAGTTTTGATGAAAGTATTTGTACTTATACTTCAGTTGAAAACGAATAGTCCCTCATGTGATAGAAATATTAAAATCATCGAGCTTATTTTCTATGGGAAATGAAATCCTAAAGAATCAAAAAAAAACATAAGCAGTTAACTGATCTCTTAATCAATTTTGCTTTCTAATTGGTACACTTCAATAGAAATATTCTTCTATGTCAAATATCTTCTTATTCTTACAGTTACATGTCATTCTCCAGATAGTTTAATAATTGTTTGACAAAGATTGTTATCTTTAATCTATTAGATTACATATTTTTCCTTCATATTTGAATAATTATTCAAAATTGAATAGTTTCCATTACGTTATTGAGCAAGTCATATAATAATGTGGCATTTCCAGTAGATTAATGATTAATATATATGATATTTTTATTAGCTACTACAACAACTACAACTACGCGCTGCTTTGATATATGTTGGCAAGAGAATTGTGAAACAGGTGCTAATACTAGTATACCTTGTCCTAGTACAGCTTTTTCAACATCATCATCTACAACAACATCTAGTAGTTCATCAACATTCTTACCTCCAATAACATCTACTAGTTCACCAACAATAAACTGTCAATATCTTGAAGATGAACTAAGACGAGTAAAATTAGGTTTAGGTATTGGTTTAGGTTCTGGTATGTTGGTAACTACTGGATTGGCCATTGGTACTTATATTTATTTTTCCAGACAGTAAGAATATCAATTCTGTAGCAACAATTTCAATTTTCATACTGTCTTTCTCTTATAGGCTAGCACAATATTCAGCTTCATCAGCACTAGGACCGGAATACTTAACTAGATTTTAATATTATAGCACACAGTTCAAAAGATATTGACTCTTATATTCAAACAATAAAACAATTATAAAATGAAGTAGTTTTATAGTGTGATTTTATTTTATTCAAGAATATTCGATTAATCAAAAATTTATGTTTCTCATTTCACTTATGAGCGAAGTATCGCAACTAATTGCGAGCTTTTGGTTTCATATTATGGCTACAAGTAGATCTTAGGGATACTAGAAAAACTCTAGAAGTGTTCGTGTTCATAGGTTGCTGATCTAAAGTTATAGCCGTTTCACTGAATTTTAAGCCTACGATACTATATATACGACAAAGTCAAATGAAGTCATTTTAATCTGATATTCTGTTCATGAACAGGTCTAATGATTCCGATCGTGTACCAAAATTTTCAATCAAAATGGATATTTTCTTCTTGAAATATTCAATTTCCAGGACAGCTTTATTATTGTTGCCTGTTTGTTATAAGTGAACATTGTCGCAAATTGAATAAGAATCATGAGACCTATTCATGGGCAGAATATCAGATCGAAACACCTCCATTTGACTTTGCTGTAGATACTGTGCCATTAGCTAAAAATTCGATGAAACAGCTATAACTTTGGGCCAGCAGCCCATAGAGAAGAGCGCCTCTAGAGCTCTTTTAGTCTCACTAAGGTCTACCTATAGCCAAAATATGAAGTCGAAAGCTCGGAATCAGTTGGGATAATCCCTTGTTAGAGTAAATCATCGTAATCACGACGAAAAAGAAAGTATCCTATATTGTTTGATTCACTGCACAATCATTCAATACTCAATTGAAGATATTTGTATACTGGTATAGTCCTAGAAGCGTACTATATCAAATGAAATGACAATATAATATGTCGAGAGACTAATAGTCGAGAAATTAGTAGTCTACGGTAGTTATATCATTAGATCATTCCAGGGATGGGCGAGTCCGAGTCAAAACTCGAACTCGAATCGACTCGAGTCATTCACTCGAAAAAATTTTCATGTGCTTTTATAAAAAAATCACAATATATAGAACTAAATTTTTTCTGATTCTCAATTTTCATTCTAATGGAATATAGGACATTAGAATGTTTTCTTCGAAAGCTTTATTTCACTTATTTATTTATATGATCATAAATCTTAGTCTACACGTATTACAGGATGCATATATATATATATATATTGTCTCCTTCTGTTTTGTTTGGGATTATCTGTGAAGCGAAAAAAAAACATTTATATATGAGTAAGCATTTTTTTTTAAACACCAAAAACCTGAGCTTTAATCACTAAAATTGTCTAATTGTGGCATGATTATCAAAAAATTAGTGTTTTGATTAGCAAATTTACCATAAATGAAAACAAAAATAACAAATAGAAAAAGTATTTCGAGTGGTTTCGACGATTTATTTTCTGTGGATTTGCCTTCGTAGGTTGTTTCCAATTTTAATTATCGTCTTTATAAAATAATAAAATTTTCACCTTTGAGGATTTACTTTTCGTCGATCACATAAAAATACATTCCATTTATCCGTTTTCTAATATAGAATTTACTTTCAGCTGATTAGTTGATTGAAGTAGTATAGGTATTTTGCACAAGAGTGCCTGGCATATCTTGTTCAAGAAATGACTTATTCTCTAATTTAACACTGTCTCGAGATGAACAAGTTCAAATGAAAAACTTCTTTTTTGTATAGTGTAGTAAGTACATTGATCGACTAGCTTCTGTGGTAATTACGGCTTCGACTTGTCAGTATCTCTTGGTAAATAAAGTTGTTATAAGCCATACTCGTATTCAAGATCAAATAAGATTAGAAAAGTTGTGTTTCAGTTATTAGAACACCTTGTTCCGTTTTAATTAATTTCTGTTTCGGCGAAATTGGCGATAAAATACTGAGATTTTTTGTTGATTTTTCCCAGTTAGACAATTTTGCGACCACAACAAATTTTTTCTGCAATTTAAATATACATAGTAAAATTTTGCTAGTAAACAGATTTAAGTTCATGTTCTGCTCATAAAAAAATGACCCTTCTGTGATTTTGGTGTGGAATTCTATTTAAGAGAAGAGTTCGTCTTGATGTTCGGTTTTGTTGATCAATCTATAGTAGCTATACCACTTTATCTTGTGTAGGATTATTCCCTTCTTTTTGTGCATAAAAACTAAGAACTAGACATCATCTTCTGAGAAACTCATTGTTAATGTTCTTTAGCCAAATAAACAGAAAAAAAAAATAACAAAATTAACTTGACTCGACTCGACTCGACTCGGAGGTCTCGGTGACTCGACTTGACCCGACTCGAAACCATTTCGAAATGACACGGACTCGACTCGACTCGAAAAATGGCTTGACTCGCCCATCCCTGGATCATTCTTAGGAGGAACCTTTTCTCTAACAAGGAAACATATTTGAGTGTTCCCCCCCCCCCCCTGAGAAAGGGTTTTAAACTATTCTATTCTATACGGACCTTGTTGGATATAACGAATATAAATGTCTTAGTTGCTTTCGTTCAACTTTGGAAAAAACAGAGAATCAACTTTTTTCATTTCTCCGTATGCTACAGCTGAGAGTTTTTTCATCATTTTTTCACTTTTATAAAAATTACGAAAACAGATATTTTTCTCCTAAAATGGAGTTCAAATTGAACACGATACAATGTAGAAGGCCTTATTTCTTCTCATCGTATACTCATTGGTTTTCTGAATATGTAAGTATGGTGGTTTAAAGAAAAACCTCAAGATAAAATTCAAATACTATAGTGAGATGGAAAAAAAAGATTATTGCCATAACACCAGGTGATGTTGTTTTGTGTACTATCTCGCTTTCTTCCTTCAATATTTCTATTGTCTAGACATTCAATATGTATGTTTGATCTTTCTTTTACTTCTGTTGAAACATATAAATCTATACTTATCTTTTCTCTTCTAACATGTTCGTAGTGCATTTGCTTTTTTCTCTCTGGTCACGTTTGTTGTTCTGTATAGAAAATGAATGATTTTTCTAGTATTCTCTAGTAAGTCCTCTCTTTTTTTCATACCATTGTCTACACACACATATGGGCGTGACCAATCATAGGATACTCCGATTTGCTTTCTTTCTATTATCATTTAAAAAACCTAACCATATTCGGGCTAAATTATTACCGTTGTCTCTTAACTTCTAAATTTAAAATATTAGCTGCTGATAGCTATCTTATACCAAATTATTCAGTCCCTTAAAAACGGTAGGACAAAATTTCAGGGACTGAATAATTTGCTATAAGATAGCTATCAGCAGCTAATGTTTTAAATTTAGAAGTTTAGAGACAATGATAATAATTTGGCCCGAATATGGTTAGGGTTTTTAACTGATAATAGAAAGAAAGCAAATCGGGGTATCCTATGGTTGGTCACGCCCATATACTTTATCTGTCGAAGTGTGACATGATGAAATTAGAGAGCGGTATTGATTTATGAATGACATACTATCAGAATATCAGAACATCATAAAGGACAATGACAAACAGGAGGGTGTGGGTGGAGAGAAGATCAACTTACACCCATACCCTCAAGTCGAAGTCTTGTGGCTTCTCCTTCCCTATTACAGACCTTAGCAATCTCTCCTCCATTACAGATTTTAGCACTCGATGACAACTGACACAAGACTCCTTGTCCAGAGTTTCTTAGCAGTTGAACAAGGCTCTAAACGGCATTAACGACTACACTTAGAATTTTCTAAAGTCTCTGTTAATATTTGAATAGTTGCAATAGTTTTATAAATCTTTTAAAGATATATCGTAATACGTTAAGACATGCTACTGAAGATATAATGCATATTTACAAAAAAAAAGCCTATTTGTTACTTAATTCGATCCGTATCAAAATAACAATGTTAAATTAAGAAATAAAAACGAAATATGAAACTGAAAAATAAAGAGTAAATAGCAACAATCCAAGCAAAAAATAATACGCCAATAAAAAAAATTGTTCAAAATGCAGAAATAAATAAGAAGACTCTTACTCTGGTGATTGTTTACCTTGGAAAATAACTGCATTTACGAGAGATTTTTCACCTGATGTATTTTGTATTAGCTTAATGAGGTTAAAGAACATATATGTGATTTTGATATTTCATTTTCAAAGGACCTGCGCTAATAAGCTTGTTAGTTTTATAGATAAAGTATTTCCATGAATAAGTTTCGCATAAATAATTAATATAATGACAAAAAACATATTTTCCTTCACATTCTGATTGTAAAATTGATAACATAATCCCGATCATAAGTAAAGCTTTTTGTATTCCTTTAAAACAAAGTCACATATAAACACTTACATGTCTTGATGACAAATACATGGAAGAATCTGATATGTTTGTCAAATAGTTACTAATGTGTTTTTTTTTCAGAGACTACTGTCATCAGAGAAGATTACCTTTCAAAAGTCAATATTAATGTGCTCTTCATCTATTTTTAACATTTGTAACCAATGAAATAATAATGATGGTAGTATTGCTTCTTTTTATGCTAAGTTTCAAGATATCTCTCGAAGTTTTCGTATGGTATAAGACTCTATGTTACCATTAGTCAATGCCATTGACAAGTTGGACAAATTTCTGCTTTAACATAAATTAATTTAAACTTAACAAAATTTAGAGAAGATTTACTTAGTAAAAACAGTTGAGAGATATCCAAAACACAAAAAAAATTCCACCTTGATTAATACTCATATTACCATTCAAGAAAAAAGACAAGTGACTGACATTGAAGAATGAAAAAAAATGAAAGAGAAATAAATACCCCACAAATTTTGATATTTATGAAAACAAAATTACAATCAAATTTTTTTCCATCAAATCGACAAAACATCCATGTTATTAGCTGATCGATTTAAGGTATACAGAGGAAACTTTTTTCTCTTCGTTACATTTCTACTATCGTTCATATATTTCTATTCTATATGGAAGTTCCAATTTCATTAGTGAGCTTCTTCATTTTTCTTACAAAAATCTAATGTTTTATATTTATCAATAGTTTTTCA